AAAAAAAAAACAAGGCGGCAAGGAATTAGATTGTTTCAGTCGGAGGGTATTTAGAGGCCTGGAGAGGTGAAAATATCAATTTTACATCTGTGGGAAGTGGGAATGAAAGAGGAGCCGGCGTGCCAGCCAATCGATTGCGAGGCTGGTGTTTTAGGGTGAAAAAGTTATGTAATGTTGCTTTAAGAGGAAAAAGAAAAATAGAGTCGGAACACAAGCGGTATAATTTTGTGTATAAAGAAAGATGTTTTTATGATTATTTTATGGCCCTAAATCTTCCCTCGGACGCACCGGATCCGTGCGCGGAGGTGCAGATGTGCTTTGTACACAAATAAAGTCTTCTGTCGGAGGAGACGCTGCTTAAACTTTAACCGCTCGGCGAGTCGATGCGGCAGAAATTAAAGAAGAGCTTTTGTGTGTTTCTCGTCACTCGAGGGGGAGCTTAGCACCTCTGACGAGATCATATAGTATTTTGCTCTTCCCCTTCCCTTCACAAACATCTCGTTATTCATCTTGTGTGTTTGTTGTTTTTTTTTTCCCCCGTCCAGGTCAACGGCGAAGTGCACGAGCTGCTGCTGACCGTCATCACTCGCGTCGGCATCGTGGTGTCCCTCGTCTGCCTCACCATCAGCATCTTCACCTTCTGCTTCTTCAGGGGCCTGCAGAGCGATCGCAACACCATCCACAAGAACCTGTGCATTAATCTCTTCATCGCAGAGTTAATATTCCTAATTGGTATCGATATGACGGAGCCCAGGGTAAGCTGGAACGATCTCGCCCTATCGATTCGGTTTTGATTCATTCCCTCTCGCTTTATCTCCTCCCCCACCCAAAACAAAAGACCCTCTCAGAGTGAAATGGATGAGACTTTAAGCGTTGTTTGTTTCTAACCTTCCCTGGTTTGTCCCTGACATGACATGAGTGGAGCAGCACCATTAATATAGATTACTAAGGGGACATGTCTTCCTCTTGACAGGTCTTTTTTCCTCCTTCAGTCGAAGCCGCAGTTGGCTGAGCTGCATCCAGACCATTTTTAACTTCTTCTTCTTCTCTCACCTGCATTTTCACTTCAATCTCTGGAAATACAAAAGCATTTTTTTATTTTTTTTTCCCCCCCCTCCTGCATACAGCTGGGAGTGAAAGCCTCCAAAAGCTGAGCCGTGTGATTAAATCTACTAACCTCACAATACAGGGCTGTATTTAAATTTCTACTCTGCTGATGGAAAGCCAAAGCGATGCACAGTCCGAACCCATGCGGTGAATGAATATTCATTACCGGTTTCACTGATATGTGTTCTCCTGAATGGAGCTTTTCAGCGGGTTTTAATAAAAGATGGAATATACGATATAAGATCTGTCTTGTTTAAATCATCTCTGACCTACAGGTAGATGTTTTATTCCTCCTCGATGGGCTAAATTCTGCTCCTCTCTCTCAGATCGGATGTGCCATCATCGCGGGGATCCTGCACTTCTTCTTCCTGGCCTCCTTCTCCTGGATGTGTCTCGAGGGCGTCCAGCTGTACCTCATGCTCGTGGAGGTCTTCGAGAGCGAATACTCCAGGAAGAAGTACTACTACGTGTCCGGGTACCTGTTCCCCGCCATCGTGGTCGGCGTCTCGGCCGCCATCGACTACAGGAGCTACGGCACCAAGAAAGCGTGAGTGCAGCTTCTGTTGTCCTTGGAAACGCAGAGCAGACGTCGCCGGATGCTGCCGTCGTCGTCCGCTGCGGCGGATTTGTTTTTTTGGAAAGGAAAATCTACTCATCATTTCTGCCAGCACCTTATGTGCATCCCCGGAGACGACACCAAAACATTTGAGCTCCTTTCGCGCGGGGATGGGCAGCTGTTCAATTTTTCATGTCATTTGAAAGTGGCTGACAGACTCAACACTGTGGTTTCAGGGGAGCACGCAGCTACATTAATGTCTCTCTGCTCAAAGACCCTCCTGTGACCTCTTGTTTGTAAATGCTTTCTTAAAGAGAGGAGCACGGCGCAGAAAAAACCTTTTACATAGATTAATGGCCACATCTCGGCGAAGGCTCGGCTATTAAGAGGGGCTACTTGGGGTCCTCTCTCTTGTTTTCTGTATTAATGTTCAACCTGCGAAAGCGCTCCGAGTTAAATATTGATAATAAAATAACAAGAGACTAAATTACACACTCAATATCATCAGCCCAAGTAACCAAAAATTAATTTCTTTCCATTAGTATTTGGCCGCAGGAGCGTGATATTGTTTTTTGTTTTTTTTTTGCAGCATGTGTTGCCTACAGCTGAAGTGTGTGTTTCTTTGTCATAGGTGCTGGCTAAGTGTGGATAATCATTTCATATGGAGTTTTATAGGACCTGTCACCTTTATCATCATGGTAAGCTGTTTTATTTTCCCTTTGAATGCTGAGACTGACAGAGTGAGGAAGGGACTGAGAGAAGGAGGGGAGATGAAAGAGATGCAGGAGGGAGATAAAGGCAGCGAGATGCTTGAACTGAAGGGGAAAGTCAGCAGGATGGGTTTTTTTTTTTTTTTTTGCTGCTCCAAGTCTCCTCGGTGATGACAGGTTAATTTTGCGCCAAAAGACAGATTTGGGAGGCATCCGACTAATCTCACCACCTGACAAGGATCGAGACTCGATAGTGTGCTTTAACCTCACATTTACACAACTTGCAGATGTCACCTAATGGCCTTCCAGTTTTCATGAGGAAGAAAAAAATAATAATAAAAAGTTGGCACACGTTGTCGGAGCTGGGTTTTTTTTTTTTTCCCTTCCTCTGCAGCCGCCTCCTTGTGTTTTCGTCTGGCTGCAGTAAATAGCAGATGACAGTGTCGGGGAGAAGAAAAGCAAAGGCACCTCTCTGTTTGGTCAAGGACCGTCAAGGGTGAAGGACATATAGCATATCATATTGACATATGTCCCATTGAGGCATGCAATTATTTACTGGTCATGACATTATTATCTCCCGCTCCATCAGAGAGGCTCAGAAGAATGAGACCGTAGGGAGCCTTACTTCCCAGCACGAGAGGTAGGGGGGGAAAAAAAAAAAGGAAATAGCAGGTGGTATTCCTCACATAGATCCTCTCTGCCTACAGCAACCACGTATCGCTTTGCCCTCGTGCCTCGCGCCGAGGAAGCTCTGCAAACTCGTGTGTGGCTGCTGCGCGGGGAGGATGGGTGGTATTTGTTCAGCGCTGTGTTCATTATCCAGCCTAATGGTTGGTACTGTATCTACAGACGCACTGACCTCTGTTGAACATCAAGCTGACACTGAAAATATACTAGAGAGAAGGGGGCCAGCCATGTCAAATTCCAGCGAGTCTGTGCACACTATTGGCAAGACTGCGAGGAGCTTTTCAAAGTAAAGATACAGCGCGGCTCTTTGTCCGGGTTGCTGGCGGGATAAATAAAAGACGAGTCGGCTCACTGGACTGCATTTCACAGTTTTTCTCAGACTTTGCCACTCGATGTAGCGTTTAAAGGTGGAAGTGCACGAGAAGACCTGACGAAGCCCCGCGTTGGACTGAAACGTCCTCTGAGTGAAAGCTGAAATGCCTGTTTCTTGTTTTCCATTGATTTTTTTTTTTTTTCTCGGCGTGCCCGCTCTGAATGTGCGAGAGCTTATAATTGAGGAAAAAGCTAACGTTGTATTAAAGCAAACATACATTTCTCCCCGTCTCAGCAAATGCTCCGTCAGCCACACAGGAATATGTTTCCTCTCCTTAAATTGGACCCTCATTGTTTTCCAGTCGAGTGTTGCTCTCATAATGATTTGCATGAAAAATACGTCTGCAGTGGAAATGATGATCAGGATCCCGGCGGTGATGACCGGAGAGATAGAATCATGACCCTGTGAGGAGCTAATGTATTGTAGCAGAGCTAATGTGTGACAGGAATGAGGTTTTCTTGCACCGGTTCGGGCTTCGCACGCCGCTGCTGTGATTCTGTGCAACAATTGACTCAAAAAGACAAAGTACTGTGGAAAGGGGGATCTCGGGGGAGCGTGCAGGAGCAAGGTTTGTCTACACCATCCGTGACCCTGGTTTCTCTACAAATTGGCTTTGTCCTTGTCAATGAGAGAGAGGGATAGAAGGCGAAAAGGCACATGAGCCAGAGGAGAAGCAGCGCTGCTTTCCTCGCGTCTTGTGTTTCTGCCAGGCAACACCGGTTTTTAACCCAGGGTGGTCGTGTTTTTTTGTAGTTTCTCCTGCTCTTCCTGCCGCTGCTTGTTTTCGCTCCTGGCTGGTTCTGAGGTAGGCATTTAGATCATGTTCGAAGGCAGAGGTTGCCCCGTCTCTGGGCACAAGAGGTATTAGCTCCATGAAAGGGGAACATGGAAGTAATGAGTGGTGGGGGGAGCCATTAGTATGCTTGAGATAGCTTCAACACAAGGCCTCTTGGATCATGACACGTCGCGAGCAGTTCTTATCATCTGGACAGCTCCATCTGCACCTTTAATATTTTATCCCCGGCAGTTCATTTGGAGTTCAGTGTGTACACACACAGTCCACTTCAGAAAAAAGCTTTCTCCTCAGTCCCAGTGTGGCGAGGTGCTTCTGCATGGCTTGCAGTGATGATTCAGAGACAGAGTGAAGGATAGAGGCGAGGCAGCTCCGCTCTAGCAGGAGGGATCCCCCGGGAAGGGCTGCGAAAGCATGTCGGTGGGGGAGGGAACATGTGCCATGCTGCTAGGTTACTTTAAAGTACTGTGTCCCTCTCCTCTGTCTCATTGGATCCATGTCACCACTCCAGGCTGTGTGAAAGGGTTTTTCAAAAGTCCTCGCCCTCCTGTCCCTGCCCCATCCCCCCACCTCCACCGTCTGACTCATGCAGGCGGCTGACAGAAATAATGGCTGATAGCGGCAAAACAAAACACAGTTTCAGTGCCGTCTGTGATATAAAAGAAGATTTTTTTTCTCTCTCTCTTCCTCTCCCAGTCTCTCTCTCCCCCTTTCTCTTTTTTTTTTTTTTGCAGTCGTGCCTTTCCTTCAGAGCCGGGCTCATTGTGAGCGGCTCCATGAGTTGATTGCATGTGGAGGGGTGATGTATTGATCACAGGCAGTCTTTTGATAGCAGTGTGCACCAGAACACTGAGAATTTCTGTGAAAGAGCGAATGGCTGTGGTCTGAGTCCAGCTCACAAAGGTCCCTGGTATTGGCAATTCGTCTCCATTTTTCTTGTGCCAGTGCTTTGGCATTCTAAAGATAACACCCAGATGCAGCGTCGGTGAGGCTCCCCTGAACAAAAGCTCGTCATTGTCGTTGCAAATGTGTTTATTTGGGTTGCTGGTTTTTTTTTTGGGGCCACTCATGTTCCACCGATACAGTAGCGTGCATATGTTTTTCTGCTTTATTTTGCTGTTTGTTTGATCCTTTGATATGCTCTATTGGAGGCACACATCTCAATTTTTCCTCCTCAGATATTCCTTGACATTATTTATACATGCCCGGCTTGCAGTACAAACACGGCGCGCTTCGTCTGCTGTGAGTGCATGTACATGCTGTGTCAGGGACTAGTTTGCCCCAGAATAAATGTTTTTGAAGTAAATTATTTGGAGAGGCTCCTTTTGCTTGGACCATTCAGCCTTTGTGCGTCTAAATCACGGTATTGATTTTTAAGGTAGCAAATAAAATGTGCTGAGAAACGTGGCTCATGGTATCCACTGTTTCAACCTGATGTGTGCCACCGGCTCCCTCAAGATTTAATACGTTAAAAAACAAGCAAGCATCTCCCGCTCCCCTTTCCGCATTTTCTCGTTTCATCCGGCCGGCCACACAAAAAAACAACACATACCATGTTTCCTGAAGCCTTTTGTAGCTGCTGGTAGCTTATAATATTTCACTATGTGCATAAAATGATATGCAGTTGTTTTGTACAACAAGAGCCTCTCTTATTTCTCCTGCTCCTTCTCATTCCCTTCCAGACTTACTGTGTGGCTGTTTCTTCTCCTTTTCTTTTTTTTTTTTTAACAGTGATGGATTTTAATGCATTTCCATGCTCTTATTGATATAGAATGACACTAAATTTGGCGCCAGTCGGCCCGTCTGAGACTAGCTGGAACGATAGATGTTTATTGGATTAGTCTGTGGACATGCACAGAGTTGAAGGCTCTCCTCTTTTAATACTTATAGACAAATTAACAGTTTTTTTTTTTTTTCTCTCCCTCCACCTCCTTCTCCGTCTGCTATGTCTTGAGTCATACATCTTCATGTATTAACACTGCCATTACTCTGTTTTGACAGCTCAATCTCATCTTCCTGGTGATCACAATGTACAAAATGGTGAAGCACTCCACCACCCTGAAACCAGACTCTAGCCGACTGGAGAATATAAAGTAAGTGAAGCATTTTCCTGCTTATCAGCGACTAACTCGGCTGTTTTCTTATCACTCTCCCCCTGGAAAAAAAAACAACTAATATTTTAACTTCTTCTTCTTCTCCCTTCAAGCCAAATCTCAGGGCCGCAATTAACATGTTTCCTTTTGTCGAGGATCTCACGGAGCGGATGGATTGTGACTATTTATGAATGATGCTTTCTGTTTTTTGGGAAGGTCTAACTGTCATGATGACTACAACACACAAGCTCTGGTTTTTGGTTTTTTTTTGTGCTGCTTTGTTGTTTTGCTCCAAAAACCACGAGCCGCAGAATTGCACTGGCATGACACACATCAGTCCAGCTTGGGCGGGGTGCGGCCCAACAGCTACCATGTGTGTTTGCCACTGGAACATGTCAAAACCTTTTTTTTTTTTTTATAGATCCCAGCTTCTAATCCCAGACAGAGAGAGAAAAAAAAATTCCAAACACAACCACCGTCTCTCTGAGTCACCTCAACGTTTAGTTCTGGGAAGGAGAGTTGTGATGTTTTTCACTAATTGTTTTTTCTGCATTTATATTGTGAGGATTTCAGAGCCGCCTCCTTTTTTGGGGGGGTTACAGCGCTGCAGTCCGATTGCACCATTATATTATTATGTGTTTCAACTTCCACCAGCCTGAGCAGCAGCAGCAGCTATTTTTTATCCGGTGTTTGTTATTTTTCATTTCTCCTTAATGAATGTGTGCACCACTACAGCGCTGTGGTCAAACCGCAATCAGGGAGAACAGTCAGAAAAGGGCTTATTTAGACTCCTTGGCTTATTTGAGATCGACTACTCCCTTATCAAGGAAGCCACAACAGAACGTGCTTTTTTTATTCTGCTGATTACACATTGTGCGCTAATAGCTGCTTCTTTGTGATCGTTTTCTTTGTGTTTAACGGTCATTGCATGTTGCATGTGAAGGCCAAGTTAACGCACAGCTTCTCCTTTCTTTCCTCCTCCCTCCATCACTCTCCTCTCCTCCTCTCTCTCTCTCTCTTTCTCTGTTCTGCGATCCACACCAGTAATTATCGCGTTTGTGACGGCTACTATAATACAGATTTGCCCGGGTAAGCTTCTACTATACGCACCTACAGATAATTTTTACCCACACAAACACCACCACCCACCCACGCACACAGTAGCACGAATGCTAATCCGACCACAGACGATGCGATCTGACCGAATGCTTTACACGGGAGTTTTTTATAATTGAATCATCCACGGCACAAAAACATACAAGTCCCACTTCTTGCTAGAGCCTTGATTTCATTGCCTCCCGTGGATCAAAGTTGAAGATATCTTTACTCGAATGCCGACTAACCCACGCCGTTCTAATCTAATTTGTGTTTCTCTCTTCCTGCCTATCATGCTCTCTAGCTATGAAGATAATAAACGGTTTATCAAGTAAGAACATGTTGCCCAGAAGTCCTCTCTTCAGCTTTTTTATTACACTTTATTCTCTCTCTACTCTCCTTTATTCTTTCTTTCCCTTCCTCGTTTTTCTCCTCCCTGTGTTTTTTTTTCCCCCCAAACCGCAGCTTCAAAGCTGCTCATCCATCGTCCTTGTGACTTCCACCGTGTCCATCATCTTGAGATCCAGTGTTGTTGTTGTTGTTGTTGTTATTGTTGTGTGTCTGAGCGTTGAACTGTGACCGCTGCTGGTGTCTGAAGGCTCCGCAGGACCTTCACACATGAAGCCGGCAGTTTTCCCTTGAACTCTTTTCCACGTCTGCCTCTGATAACACCCTCTCCAGATAAATATTTAGTAGATGATAGTGTTCATTGCTTTTTTTTCCCCCCTTTTGGTGCTATTTTTAAACACGCGTTTGCTTTTTTTATGCTGTTCTAACACGTAAAAAAGGTTATTTACAGAAAACCAGGTCACCGTATTGAATCCTCCTTGTCTGCCGAGAGTGTGTGTGTGTGTGTGTGGTCATTTTTTTCCTCCAGTGTTTCATATCCACCCCCGCCGGCCACCTGAATCACGCCGGATCCGTCCCTCTCCTTGTGTCTCTCAGGTCCTGGACCATGGGGGCGTTCGCTCTGCTGTGCCTGCTGGGTCTCACGTGGTCCTTCGGCCTCTTCTTCATCAGCGAGGCCTCCATCGTCATGGCGTACCTCTTCACCATATTCAACACCTTCCAAGGAATGTTTATCTTCATTTTCCACTGCCTTCTCCAGAAAAAAGTAAGTTTCTCCTCCCCCACACTGCTCTCCTCAAGGTGAATCTGTGCAGTCAAGGCCGAAGCCTCGACTCGCCGGATTCACAAAGCGCCACACGCTGATATAAAGAACAAACAGCGCTCGCTTCGTGATCTCGGCTAAGTCATATGTAAAGTCAACACTGTATGTAAACACCGGGCTGTTTGCTCGCGCAGGTCCGCAAAGAGTACAGCAAGTGCTTCCGACACACGTACTGCTGCGGAGGGCTGCCGACCGAGAGCTCGCACGGCTCTGCGAAGACGTCCACCACGCGGACCAGCGCCCGCTACTCCTCTGGTACACAGGTAGAGCGGCCACTTTACTCAGCGCCTCCCGCACCTCATCGCACAGAACATTTAGAGCAGGGATCCACCAACTCTGGTCCTCGTGAGCTCCTGTCCTGCAGGTTTCTGTACTGCAACACACCTGACGCAGTTGGTTAGCACTGTCGCCTCGCAGCAAGAAGGTCGCCAGTTCGCGTCCCGGTGGGGCCACTGGATGGTTACCTGTCCAGGTGAACCTGCCTTCACCCTGAGTCAGCTGGGATAGACTCCAGCAACCCTAGTGAGGATTAAGCAGTGTATAGATAATAGATGGATGGATGTTTCTGCATAGAGTTTGCATGTTCTCCCCGTGCAGTGTGGGTTCTCTCCGGGTTCTTCCTCCCACGCAGTCCAAAAACATGTTGAGGTTAACTGGTGATTCTAAATTGTCCGTAGGTGTGAATGTGAGTGTGCTTGGTTGTCTGTCTCTAAGTGTGGCCCTGTGATAGACTGGTTACCTGTCCAGGTGGACCTGCCTTCGCCCTGGGATAGACTCCAGCGACCCTAATGAGGATTAAGTGGTGTATAGATAATGATGGATGGAGCACACCTGACTCACATTAATGGAGCTTGTTGTCAAGTTCTACACAAGTCTGTTAATGATGCATTCATGTGAGTGTCGCAGTACGAAAACGTCTTAAAGGACAGTAGCTCACGAGGACCAGAGTTGGAGATCCCCGATTTAGACCAGTTGCTCAGGAGAATGTGCTTTCATCGTGTAAGTATTCCACGTTAACCAAAAAAAAAAAATGCACATTCTGCATTTTAGCTTCAGAGGTAGATCAAGAGACACAAACATTATTCCACATTTTTACAAGCAGCATCTGCTGTACTGCATGAGTACCTTTCTTCTGTTCTGCCCCCTTTAGCACTTGCTTTTATCCTTTTTCTCACTAACGTCATGTGCATGGGAAAAGAAAAAAAACAGTATTGCACCGTTTAAAGAGCATCGCAGGCACATTTTACTGCGGGGAGAGACGAAATTGCAGAAAACATACGTATTTGGCTTTATCCCTTTCTTATTAAAGGCTAACAGACCTGAGGAGACGACAGCTCCAGATGTAGCGTGCTTATAGAGAAGCACTTAGACCTCCAGCCTTATTCAAAAAAGAAGAGATGTCGTAACCCGAAGTTGTTCCAAAGCACATAAAAAGCAGAGACTCTGCCCTCGCCGAGCGATGCAGATGCAGAATAAGTTTATCTGAAAGGTGAGCGGGCTTGTTTAGAGTCCTAATGACTGTCCCTTGTTGACCTGACAGAGTCGTATCAGGAGAATGTGGAATGACACCGTAAGAAAGCAATCTGAGTCCTCCTTTATCTCAGGTGACATCAACAGCACCTCCACCCTTAACCAAGGTCAGTTCACACCTCATTTCTCTCCACATGCACACCTATGCACACGTTTCATCATCCGGCTAAAAATACCTCCTTCCAGTTCCAATGATCTCACAGGGTCCCAGTCTGGTAATCGTAATAAATGCCTTCAGCTTGAAAAGACAGAGCAAAAAAAAAAAAAAGATTTAGTCCTTTAGTGCAGCCTCCCTGTTCTGCCAGCAAAGGATTACAAAAATCCGTCCTCAAATACTCCGTGCGCTGTCATTCTGGCCGCTAACGTCAGCCTCAAATTGGAGCAAGGCTGGAAGAACGTTTTTTTATTTAAGTGCTGCCTGTCCAAAGTTCATACCCAGGCTCAGGGGAAGCAGAGACAAACCTAAAAACACGGAAAGGGGAGTTTTATTTTCAGAAAATCTTAGCATGCTTCAAGAGGCCATTTGTTGCCTGGCATCTAAGGTGACCTCTGTTACTTTACAGGAGGATTTATGAGCGAGGGAGGGAGGGGGAAGAAAAAAAAAAAAACTGTCATTTATTATTTAGCTTGAGCACAAATATGATGATGAGAAGATGATGTTCAACTCTGGCTGACCTGCAGCGCTTAGTGTGTTGTTGGGCTTTCTGCTGCCTCTGAAATGGCTTTCCAAGCATGCGAGGGGGGGAAAGAGGGTTTTTACACCGAGGTAGCTTAACTTCCCTCCTCTCCTCTGACTCCTGTCGCTGCTGCTCTCTGCCTGGTCTTTCCCTTTTGTTGCTATCACTTCACCACGAGGTAAAACATCACACCGAGGGCCTCGAAGTACATTTTGACTCGCTCAGGAACAACGTTTTGGTTTTTTTTTTGTTGTTGTTCTTGTCTTTATGTTAATGTAAAGGTTGGGTATTGATCACTCCGGGGTGCAGTAGCCCAGTTACCCCGGAGAGGCAGCGCTCTGAAGGAGGCCTCTGTCTCCTGGAAGCGCTTCGCTGTCATTAAAAACGTCCCCGGAGACTTCTCGACATGACAGATGGCATTTAACACAGGTGATAAACGGCAGGTCCTTAAAACGCACCGAGAGCTGGAGTGAAGAATGAGAGAAAGATGAGATTTGGAGGAAAATGGATAAATTTGAGTCTGAATTTTTTTTTTTTTTAATTATGTGAAAACTTTGAGGAATTGGAGTGAATTTATATTTGCAGTTGATTTAAACTGTGATTATTTTTTTACATTTTTTTTTTGCAGAAATACAACTTGCTAGTTCTGATAAACTTATGAAATGATAAACAGGTGATAGATGACAGTGGAAGCACCTCAGATCCTTGAAACACTCAAAAAAAAAAAGTGAGAGAAAGATGAGATTTGGAGGAAAATGGCAAAATTTGAGTCAGAATTTTTTATGTAAAAAAAAAAAAATTATTTGCAGTTGATTCAAACCATGAAACATTTGAAGTTTTTGTTTGTTTGTTTTTTTGCTGAATTTTCCAGTTCTGATAAACTTATGAAATGACATTAAAATAATCAGCACAGTGGACACAGACTGGAAACACCTCAAATCCTTTAATACGCTGAGAGATGAAGTTTTCAAGGAAAATTTATAAATTTGAGTCAAAATATAAACTTGAAAGGATCGAGGTGAATATTTATGTGCAGCCGTTTTAAACTGTGAAGCATTTGGATTCTTGCAGAAATACATATTAGTATTTATGAAAAACACTGACGTCATTACACTAATGAACACTGAGCGGAAACACCTCAGATCAGTGAATACGCTCCAAGCTGAGGTACAGAAATGAGACGACGAGCTTTTGGGTGAAAATGGGTAAATCTGAGTCGGAATATAAATTTTAATGTGAGAACTTGGAGCGATTGGGAATAAATTTAAATCTGCAGCTGTTTGAAACTGTGAAATATTTGCTTTTTTGCAGAAATGCAACTTTCTATTTGTAATAAACTAATGACAAACACTGATGTCGTTACAATAATGAGCAGAAACACCTCAGAGTCGTTAATTAGAGCTGAAGTAGAAAATGAGAGGAAGGTGAGATTTGGAGGAAAACGGCTAAATTTGAATCGGAATAGAGAAACTTTATGGAAACACTTTCAAGAATTGGAGATCATTTATATTTGCAGTTGATTCAAACTGTGAAACATTTAGGGTTTTTTTTTTCAGAAATGCAACTTGCTAGTTCTGAAAAACTTACAGTGGAAGTACCTCAGATCCTTAAAACACACTGAGAGTGAAGTTAAAAATGAGAGGAAGGTGAGATTTGGAGGAAAACTGCTAAATTTGAGTCGGAATATACATTTCAGATGTGAAAACTTGGAGGGATTGGGCATAAATTTATATGTTCAGCTGTTTTAAACTGTGAAATATTTGGATTCTTGCAGAAATACAACCTGCTTTGTGTGATAAACTAATGAAAAACCCTGATGTCGTTACAATAATGTGGAAATAGATCCCTAAAACACTGCAAGCTGAGGTACAGGAAAGAGCTGAAGATGAGCTTTTGGATGAAAATTTGATGTGAGAATTTGGAAGGATTGAGGATAAATTTATATTTGAACTTTTGCAGCTGCGATTTTTCAACGTATATAAAAAGCGCTGATGGCTCTGCAGCAATAAGCCCAGTAGGCTGAGAACTGGTTGGTAATTAAAAGGTTATTAAAGACAAATGCAACACACAGAAACGAGCTGAAGGTTCTGCAGAACGCCTCAAAAGACAAAACTGACTGAATATTTTTCCTCATTTCTTTTTTCTTCTTCGATGACTCTCATCTGTTCCTCTTCTGTCTCGCCACTCCAGGAATGACCGGGAACTATCTACTAACAAATCCTCTTCTGCGACCACAAGGCACTAACAACCCTTATAACACCTTGCTGGCTGAGACAGTCGTATGTAATACCCCCACGGCTCCAGTGTTTAACTCGCCAGGTGTGCTTCCTTGATTCTTTCACCTGCACTTTCTGCTTTTTCAGTCTCTTCAGTTGAACACACGGCAGGCCAGACGAAAAGCAGGACGCTCTGCAGTATCGCCTTTTCCTTCTCAATCACTGTCTCCCCAAACTGAGCGTGTGCGAAAGTACGCACATGTTTTTTCATGCAGGACAGAGATGTCTGCGGCCTCTGTGTTCTCATATTCCTCTTATCCAAACTCTGAACGGGACAGAATGATTAAGATGGGAAAGAGATACTACATGTTCTGCCCGGAGATAATGTAAACAGCGGTGCAGACCTGAAGCTCCAGTATAAACTGCATGCTTATTAAGATTAATTCTCCCGAGTTTATCGGCTCGTTTGTTACTTTTTTTGTGTGTTTTAGAGGGAGCTCGTCTGCTAGAAACTTTTGCTAACCCGCAAGCCAATCCTGCCATGCGTCTGTGTGTGTGTGTGTGTATATTTGTACATGTGTTAAACGAGGATATCTCTGTCGCACATGACCTGTGGACATATATCACACTGTAGAGACTGTCTGTGATGTGCTCTCCTACTCTGAAACTGAAATGGCATCTTCTGTCATGTTTTGTGCTTCTCCCCTGTGCTTCCCTCTAGTGACCTACAGAGAGACAAGTATGGGAGTAAAACTTAACTTTGCCTATCAAATGTAAATTTTTTTCAGCATGCCTATTTTAAAAAAAACAAAAAACAAAAAAAAAACAACCAACCCAAAACCCCGGCACAATCACTGGTTTACTTTTAGGCCATTAACACACACTCAGTGAGCAAGTGGTTCACAAAATTACCTCCAAATTCTGCTCTGATCGGAAAATTTTTCAAGATTTAATCACACGTTTCTCTGCTTTTCTCTCTTCTGCTTAATTTGTGATTTTGAACCGGCCAAAAAAAAAAAGAAAGTGTTGCTTTTTTTTTTCTTCTTCTTCTTCTGGCAGAAAGGATCATTTACCAGAAAGGTTTCTTTTCCTTTTCTTTTATATTCTGTTCTCCCCAAACGCCCGTCCTCATGTGGCACTCAGCAGGCTCAGTGTCCAGTAGTATTCCCCTCACACCTTCCCAGACAACAGCTGTCTGGACACTAAATTGCCTCCTAGCAGGCGTAAACACATGGATGTCATGGCAGCAGCTGTTCACTCCTTTACTATGCTTTTTTTTTTTTTTTTGGGCCATTTTTCCCTAATTCCCCCTCAAAAAAACTGCACCGGGACGTTGCTGTAAATCACCGTCTCCATTTGTTATTCTACGAGGAGGCTACGATAGCCACGCCAGAGCACATTTTTTCCTTTATCTCCTCGCTCAATCACGGCATAACTAATATTTATCCTTCCCGCCGCTGCTTTCCGTGACCTCCATGCTTTGAGAAATTCCTAACATGACTGCGCGTGACCTCTGCGGCGGCCGTGTGTGGTTTTTTTTTTTTTCTTTCTTCTCGAGCCGTTCTGCTAGCGACCGAGGTCTCGCCGGGAAGCGTTACTGTGACGGATGCCAAGTGCCGAGCTGCGGGCGAGCTCTGACCTTTTGCCAGCTTTGGGTACACAAGCTGCCAACTAATGGACAGCAAGTGTACCAACACAAACTCCCCCTCCCCTCCAAAATTAAAAAAAAAAAACACAAAGAGAAAAACCGACAACAAAAGTCGCTGTTGGCATTTAATTCATAAAAAAAAGAAAAAGTAAAAGCGGTTTAATGCTTGTTTGTTTCATTTGCTGAACCCTTGCTCTCGCTAAGTTGCAGTTAAGACCTTTACTTTACATTTTGTTGTTCTTTTGAGTGATTCTTCATGTTACAATAAATCATTTTACTTTCTTTTGTACATCAGCTGCTCTTAGACCAGATAGCCTGAGCAGACAGACATGATGTGAGTTGTCTAAAGTGAGTCTTTTCACCTGCTGTGTGTGGTGATGGTGGAGTGCTGCTTGTGGGCTCCCCTTGTAGTGAGAACAAAGATGGCTGTCCCATGTTGATACATGACTACTTTCCCTTTTCTGTGCGTGTCATCATTTTCCCATCTCTGTCCTTTTTTTTTTTTTTTTTTGCTTTTCCTTCAGCACATCCAACCTATTAGTTGCTAGAGAACCTCTCAGTGTCGTAGCTTGCCCGTTTGTGGCTTCATACGTGTGGACATCTACTTTTTGCCCGGTGTGTTGTGATGGTGGTTCCTGTTTCAGTTTGTTTCTTTAATGTTGTTTGGGATCTTTTTCATTGCTTTTTGTCACCTTTTGTGGCAGATTGAAACGCACAATTCCCTGCTTATTTTGAAGCGAAAAGAAAAAAAAAGGGAAAGTCAAAATGTATATGTGAGAAAGTAAAATGATTTCTCATGGCGGATAGTGCATGCCTCTGTATTGTTTGTTAAGGGTTGTGCCTAACTAACAGATTTACGGCATGGCTTAATTTTTTGACCTGAGTTTTCGATGTGAAACTGCATCCTAAACAGCATTAAACCCGTGTCTCTCTCTCTCTCGTGGTTTTTCCGCTGTTGACTAATGGAAGACCCCCTCACGTTTTCCTCTCTTTGCAGGGCACTCACTGAACAATGCGGTGAGGGATACAAGTGCAATGGATACTCTACCGCTAAATGGTAACTTTAATAATAGCTACTCGCTCCGCAACGGGGACTTTGGCGACAGTGTGCAGGTAGTAGACTGCGGCCTCAGTCTGGACGATGCTGCCTTCGAGAAAATGATAATCTCCGAGCTAGTACACAACAACCTGCGTGCCTGTAACAAAAGCCACCAACAGCAACAGCAGCAGCACCACAGTTTACACCACCCGCCCCACCACCACCACCACCACCACCAGCAGCAGCAGCAGCAGCAGCAGCCGCCGCAGTACCACCACCACCACCACACGGAGCGGGCTCCGCCCAAGGTGACGGTGGTCGGCGGCGGCGGCGGCGGCGGCAGCAGCAGCGAAGACGACGCCATCGTAGCCGACGCTTCGTCTTTGGTCCACGTGGGCGACGCGGTGGGCCTCGAGCTGCACCATCAGCAGGAGCTGGAGGCGCCGCTCATCCCCCAGCGGACTCACTCGCTTCTGTACGCGCCCCAGAAGAAGGTGAGGACCGACGGGGGCGTCGAAACCCTCGTCAGCCAGCTGACGCCCACCAACCCCGATGAAAGTCTGCAGTCCCCCAACAGAGACTCCTTGTACACTAGTATGCCCAACCTGAGAGACTCTCCGTTGCCCGAGAGCAGCCCGGACGTTGTGGAGGACCTGTCTCCGTCAAAGAGGAGCGACAACGAGGACGTTTACTACAAGAGCATGCCTAACTTAGGGGCTGGCCACCAGCTGCAGGCCTATTACCAGATAGGCCGAGGGAGCAGCGACGGCTACATTATCCCCATCACTAAAGACGGCTGCATCCCCGAAGGCGACGTACGAGAAGGACAGATGCAGTTAGTGACAAGCCTTTAAATGTATTTAAATCATCCCCCAGACGTCCTCCTGCAGCCCCGACCTCCTGGAGGACACGCCAGCGAGGGGAGGGGAAGTGTTTGTATTATTTTTGAAGGGAGCCCAGCCGCCCCGTCATGTACACTCCCCCCATCTGCATCGCCATCTCCTCCTTCCTCCTTCCCCCCCTCCACCCGCCACAAACATGCCACTCTTCCTGCCCTCCCTGCAGACCGATAGACTCGGAGCACAGCGACGGCAAAGTTTTAAAGGAGACTGTACATAGAAATGCAGAGTCAGATTTCAATTTTAAGAGACAAGCCAACTATGTATTTAAATGTGCTGCTGCTGTTGAATAATTGAGAAATTTAAGGTACGAAAATAAAATGAGAAAAAAAAAAAAAAAAGGCAAAAAAAAATACAAAAAAATAAATAAATACAAAAACATTACTGGCTACATCCAATCAGCAATTTTCCCAGTCAAAAGGTTGTACATACACTCCCCCCAACATCCTAGTTGAAGCCTGTTTTTTTTTATTGTGAACAAATCGAACACCCGCCGACCAGGACACGGACACGTTTGTAAAAAATGTTCCTGCTCAGACTGTTAGAGAAGGAATATAAAGGTCCTGGTCGCTCTCCATCACCATGAAGTTTGGATTGTATAACCACTAGCAATCAAGCCCCTGGCCTTATATTTTCTCAACTGTACCTTGAACTGTTGTCAAGGCAAATGGCTAAAATATATATTTTGTTGTATTGCTAGTGTAAAATAAGAAATTCATGGGAAACCATAAATATGAAGAAACCTTTTAATTGCAAAATTTAACGTTTGAGAGACTATTGTGTAGAAGTTGCACATATGTTATACGGTGTGTTTATGGTTCCGACACTTCATTCATGGTAGTACGGCTTATTAAAAAGAAAGAAAGGAAGGAGTCAACGAATTACAAAGATGCATTATCACATTTTCCACTTGTGAACAGTGTTTTGTTTTTTTTCTTTTTCTTTTCGTTTGAGTTTCATCGATATCGCCCATCGTTTATTGCCAAAGTGGCATTACTTTAGTAGAACGGGAACGCAACAACCCAGTTAAGGTGATTTATGCATTGCACAGTTTTTTTGTGTGATTCTGATTGAGCTAGACCTTTTTAAAGAAAAACAAAACAGTCACGGCAGAGCGACGGGCAAGAGCAACCGAAAAAACAGACTTTTGACAATAAAGTTTCTATCATAAATGTAGTTCTTCCGCTTGGGTTTGGATATTTTATTTATTAAAAATCTTTCCAAAAAAAAAATAATAACGAAATACAAAAAAAAAAAAAAAAAAGTCAACGGGAAATGTGTGAATATTTTCCAGCACTGGTATACATGCTGTACTGTAGCTCATGTTTTTTATGTAAACATGTTACCAAGGGGCTCATCACTTAAGACTGATGTAAAGTTCAACACTTGTTTAACGAATACAATAAATGTGAGATTTTTTGTCAAATGCCAGTTGCTTTTTAATGGTTTGTGTTTTTGGTACTATTTGAGGAAAAACAAAAAAAAAACAAAAAAAAAAACAGGTTTATTGATTTTGCTATGGACAAAATAGACTTTTGACTCAGGTTATAAGTAAGTCCCGAGCACCTTGAACGGCAAATTGGTGAATTTTCATTTTCTTTTCTCTCTCTTTTTATGTTCATTTTTTGTTTTTGTTCTGCTATTTTTCTTCAATCGCTGCAGAGTAGAGACAGCTCATTCCACCGTGTGTGTGTTAGAGAAGCCAAATCTTTCCATGTGATTCAAAGATGAGAAACTCAGGTAGGAAAAATTGCATTGTAAATGTTCCTCTGTGTGGTTGTAACACTAATAAAGGTTCAAAAGAGAAAAAAAAAAAAAAACTCAAACACTGGTTCCAAAGCATTGTCCACTTAGTATATTATTGAACGAGCGCCGGATCGGGCGCCATTAAAGGGCTGCAGCCCCGTCTTGTAGTAAGACGTTGGCTCTAATGCTGTGTGGGAGTGGAAATGTGTCCACAGACCTAACAAGGGGTCAATGTTACACTTGGCTGCGGTTCTAGAAATATATTATACATAATATGTCCGGGTATGACACATATTTGCTCTAATTAATGTCTACTGCTGCTGCTGCGGCCGCCGCCGCCGAAGCCCACAGTCAGTTCCCGTACGGTTTATGCCTCAGGTAATGCTAATTTATGAAGCATTTTAATATAACACCAGTTGAGGCAGAGTGACAGCTCTCAGCAGGGGTTGCTGGAAATTGCACTGTTTACCATTTGGCATTGAAGGAAATGACTCAGAACTTAGCAAAAAAAAAAAAAAAAAATAGGAATGCACTTTATGTCAGTGCACATAATGCTGTGTGGGCTGCGTGTTGTTTTGACTTTTCCAACAATTATGTGACATTTTGTGCAATTATCCGAGGCTCCAAATTGTCATAGAAGAATTATGTTCTTTTTTTTTTTTTTCGTTACATGATCTCTTGTACAGACCCCTTGAATGTCAGTTTGGAAGCTGGCGTTGGGGTGATTGTTGACTGTTGAAATGGCAGACGCGTAACAACACGCATAATAATGAGTGGAGGGAGGGGGGAAAAAATCGTATTGATTTCTGTGCTGCATTGTAAAACGTGCGGCAGCGTTTCATCCGTGTTAAATAAAGTGAGCGACAATCCGTGCTAAGCTACACGAGGAAAACGCTTGTGCAGAATAAACGTCTCACACTTACAGCAAAAAGTTATTCTAACCTGCGAGCATGTTTGGGTTCACTCCTCTCGGCAGCTTCTTGAAGGAAAACAGAACTCCGCAGCGCAGGTACAAACTGTAAAATAAAGTCAGAATTCTACATTTCAGTGGCGTCACCAGTCGCTCGCCATTAAAAACGCGGCCGAGCAAATAATTGCCAGCGCTCTCCTCGCCCCGCCGCCTAACTGCAGTTTGTTTATTCTGCCACGGTGACCTTAGAAGCGGATAAACTTTGCGGGTAAGCAGGTTTATTTTGGTTATTAGGAGCAGGGAAACATGATCTCGGACTGTCTGAATGTGGACTCGGCAGCCTCTGGCTTTGCGTGTGGCCTCCTCGCCGTGCGAGAGCCCGGCTAATTCCTCGTCTTTTGCTCAGGGAGAGACTCGCCCTTTGTCAAACATTGATTCAGAAGTAGGCCAGGAGCTGAGGGGCTGAGAGCTCGGTTCCTCCCACAGAGGAGCGAGCGAGCTGGCCCCTGGAAACCCAGGCAGAGAATACTGTCAGCAGAATGGGAGTGAAAAGCGCTCAAGATGGATGTGTTATTGACTAAACAGAGGCATGAGACTAATGTGCGACCAAACACGGGTAGCTGTGATTGTCAAGTCAGAGATAATTTTCAGGATCTAAGGATTTCTGTAGGATATGATGCAATTGCATGAAAGAGATTTTCGCGGTGATGAAAGATTTTTATGTGTTTTTTTTCCCCCCCCCCCGCCGCCGCCTCCCAAATCCCAGAATGCAATGAAGGTCTCCCACATGCCGGGGAGACGGAGAACAACGGAGCTTCTGCTAAGTGCACTCGGTATTCTGGTCACAGACAGATTAAACAAACATTTAATTAACTCATCATCTGTTTAAGATCAACTGTGACGATCCTCATCAACTTAAATAAGAATTCCGCGCTTCTTTAATTCACGCCGCTTTAGTCGTACATCGCCGCACGAACAAACAAACTCGAGTGTCTCTGTGTGTTTTGTAAACCTCAACCCAAAGAACGTAGTGTTTCCCTCAGAAGCAGAGCAGACGACGGCTGCAAGTGTATTTGTTGAAAGTTCAGTTTAAGAAGTTCCTTTTCTAACCCGGGGGGGATTTCTCTGAGGTTATCGATAGCTGCTGCTGCTGCTGCTGCTGTAGCTACTGCAGCGGTAACTCCTGTGAACGGAAAACACTGCCAATTATAGATGCCATCAACGTGGATGAAAGCGATTGTGTACAAGCAAAGGAAAACCTCTGAAGCCACAAACAGTAACTGGCAGCGCAAAAGTAACTTCCCAAACTCTTGAAGTCAAAGAGGACCCTTTAACTACTTACTCTTTTCTTCCCCCAGCCTCTTTTGTCCTGTCCCCAACTTCAAATGTGCAGATTTGCGGCCCATGGGCGACTTAGATCCGGTCCCGTCGAGGTGAAAAATCCAATTAACCTGCAGCTCCAGCTGCCTACGTTATAATCCCCTCCCATAATTATGAAATTACTAGATGCAGGATTTCAAATGAAAAAAGGATGAGAGCGACTGACTTAGAAAAAAAAGATGAAATAAACCGTTCGCTGCCAGTATACAGAGTTCCCATTTACCTCAAGGAGGAACAGCTAATTCTTAGGACTGAATTTGAAGGTGAGACCCGCAGAAGCCCTTGTAATCAGAATAAGAAATATCCCAACAAAAACACGAGGGTGGGAGGATCCCACACTGGCCTTTGAGATTACTGGATAGACTCCCGCATGTTCTGCGTTTAGACTTCTGGAGTGACTCGAAATGCATCCGAGTCTCACTGAGGTTCACTGAAACGCATCACTCTGCCGCTGCTGCTACGTGTTTACCTCCCAAGGACTTTGAGAATCAAAACCCGAGATGAAATAAGAAACAAAAAACATGCTTCAGCTTCCTCCTGCCTCGTTCAGGATCTATAGAAGAGCTGCGGCGGTCAGACACAGTATGTTGGCAACGTGTGATGTTTCCTCGCTGCACACAAACCCAACGTGTTATATTCTCATCTAATTAGAAGTAATTATAGACTCCAGCCTCGCATAAGTAGCGAGAAAAATAACGTGTGAAAAAGAACAGTCGTCGCACGGTCACGCGTTCACCAGCAGATCCGGTCCGTCCACCTCGTTTAGAACCACCGATTCCTCCTCCGCTGCCGACGCCAAACGCCGAAATCGCTCCGGAAGGCCGACACATGTTCATCAAAGCGAGGTGGCGATGATGCAAGCGATTGTTCTGTTTTGTAGAAACAGAAACTACTCAAATAATTTCACAGATCTGAGCCGCTCCGCATTCATTTTTCATCAAATGGTTTGACTTTATTTATGCAGCAGTTCACCGACAACAAAAGAACGGAGGTGACGCACAACGGAAAGGCAAAGAAAAGAGGAAAACACAAACGCACAGTGGGAGAAAAATGAGACCACTATTACTGCTTCTAATAATAATATTAATAACAGTCTTATTCTGTCCTTGATGCAGTTTGTCAGGAATATTTGTGACTCATGCATGCGGCTGAATAAATAGCATAACACAATTTTCTTACATAATAGTCGGCGTTATGGCATTGTTCCCCAGTAATCAGGGACGATGTATTCCTCAACGTCTTGTGCTCGGGTCCTTCACTGCACAGAGCCTCCATCTCATCAGTAAATCTAATATTCATCTGATAAACTCATTGGCACTCGCCGGAGGGAAGCCTCGAGCAATAACTACAGGATCTCCTGCTGTGTACAAGCTTCTGCAGGCCAATGATAACTCCCACTCAC